CGTCAACGACGCCGGCGCCCTCCTCGCAGACCTCCACCGCTTTTGCGTCTCCGTCGACGCCGCCGCCGCAGACTGCGACCGCTGGGACGCCCTCGCCGCACGCCGCGCAGCCCGCGCCGCCCGCCATCACTCGTGACCTGTTGTGTTACTACCTCCGGACATTGCTCGGCAGATCCTCAAGCGCAACCACAGGCAGTGCAATCGCTGCAGGCATCGCCTCCGATCCATAGTGCACCGCGTTGTGCGCCACATACGCCGGGCCGGTCGTGTTGACCAGCAGCCCGTTGTTGGGGTTCGCCGAAAAGCGCGGATAGTTGGACGACGACACCGCGAGTCGCACCCGGTGCCCGACGTTGAACACATACGCCATCGTCCACATCTCGATCGTGATCTTGTACACCTCGCCGTCCTTCATCTTCACCGGCGTCACCTTTCCGTCCCGCCACCGCATCCGCTGCACATCGTCCGACAGCAGGATCGAGAGCCCCGTCCCCGGGTACACGTCCGTCACCTTGACCGTAAAGTCCGTTCCCGTGCAGTTCGACGAGACAAAGAGCGTCACAGCCATTCGCCCCACCATTGCCGTCGGCTCCTTGAACGGCTCAGACGTAAACACGAGCACGTCCGACCGCGACTCCACAGACTGCTGGTCCGCCGGCCCGCACGCCATAAACAGGTTGTTGCCGCCAAGCGTCGGCACAGGTTCCGCAGGGTTGTACACGTAACCCGCCACCTCTGCAGTCGTCGCCGTCGGCCTGCTCGTCTCCAGTTTGCCGCCGGCCGCGAGGTAGTACGACACGTTGCTAGCCACAGGCCACGCGTCAAGCGTCGTCCAGTACCGTCCCACAACACCGTCGCTGTCAGCCCGCGCATGCTGCGCCACAGACGGCGGCGGCGGCTTGAGCTTGGGATCAGGTCCAATCACATAGATCGTCACAGCCTTGAGCTCCTTGGCCGACGCCGTCGGCGACACGATCCCGGCATCCGCAAACGCGTCCACATCGTCGTGCCCGGCCTCCACAGACTTGAACAAGTTGACCGCCTGCTCAAACGACCAGATGTCGCCGTCGCGATCGTCCGGAAACTCAAAGTACTTTTCTGCAAAGCAGTGCCCGCGCGTGTTGAAAATGAGCCGGTCCGCCGTTTGCGTCGCCGCAGACCCGCGCTGCAGCCAGTACGTGTCGAGCATCGGCTGCGCAAAAATGTCGTACGCTGCCGCCCAGAACACGCTCGGCCACTTGATCCCCGCACGGTCCGCCGCACTATCGGGACAGATCTCCTGCCAGAACGGCGTCCACGCCTCGTGGTCCTCCATGATCTTGAGGTAGCTCGGCGCCTCCGGCCGCCACTTTTGCATGTGCGCCAGCCAGTGCTTCGTCAGCTGCCACCGCTGCGCCCCACCCTGCCACGCAGCCACATACGGAAACGCCGTCGACCAAATCATCCACGCTGCGTCGAGCTGCTGCGGCAGTGTCGTCGAGACCAGCGTGAGAATCCCGTCCGCAGACGCTCCAGCCTCAAACACCAGTCCGTTCGACCATGGCTGACCCTTGATCCATGCCACCGTATCCTGCATGTCCGTTGCCGCCGTGTGCCACAGCGGCCAGCTCGCCCCGCCAGAACCCCCCGTTCCGCGCTCGTTCATCGCCAGCGTAGCAAAGCCAAACGGAAGAAAGAGCTGCGCCACCTCGTCCGTGCTCACCTTGCCGTACGGCGTCCGGTCCACCACTACAGAGAACGTCCTGCCATCGCCAGCCACAATCACCTCCTCCTCCTCCTTGCCCTTGCCATCCGCATCAAACTCTGGCAGCCAAAGCATGGCCCACAGCTGCACCCCATCCCGCATCGTGATGTTGACCTGCTTCGGCAGTGGATCCACCTCGGGCAGCTGCAGGCGCTCCTTCAACGACTTCACCGTAGCCCGCCACGGCTCTGCCATCTCTCCTCCCTCCGCCAGCACGCCTGCCACCACAACACTCACCACCATACACATACCCAGCACCCACATCCCATGCACCATATCCTCTCCGCTTTCCGCTCGAGTTGGGTCTACCCCACCCCCACTCCCCCCCTGTCGCTCCCCCGCACTCCACCTGCCTTCTTTTCCCCGTGCGCGTGCGCGCCCGCCAGCAACCGCCACTCGACGTTCGGCACAATTGAAGCTCTCGACCACGTTTATGCACACCGGGCAGCCCATCATCTCTCGTACCCATTAATCGTTACACTCCACCCATGGCGGCCGACAACGACACCGGCCCGCTCCTGGGCACATACCCTCATGCGGAGGGACAAGTTTACGCAGACACGGCAGGTGCAGCGCTGTACTCGATGGAACAGGTGGAGGCGTCGGTTAAGGTCCTCACCAGCAACTCGGCCGGCTTGGGCCTGTTGGGCAATCCCCACTCGGCTGGCTCACCCTCGGCTGTTCGGACCGACGGCCTTGTCGAACGCTATCGTGAACGAGTTTTGAACGAATGGTTCGCAACGTCATCGGATCAGTATGCTTTGATTTGGATGCCATCGGCCACGGCTGCTCTCTCATCGCTCGCTTCTTGGTTCGCATGGCAAGACGGCAGTGTCTTCGCCTACTCCTCCGACAACCACACCTCTGTTCTCGGCATGCGCGCTCTCCTGCCTACCGATCGCCAGGTGGCTACCGTCTCGCTCGCCTCTTCAGACATCGCGCCTTGGCTCGCTGCCCGCGCGCAGACTGATGATCCGCACCCCCCTCCCTCGCTCTTGGTCTACCCGCTCAAGTCCAACTTTGACGGCGTCTACGCCGATCCGGCCTGGCGCCAGGACGTCCCTGGCCTGGCCGTCGCGTGGGACGCCGCTGCCGCCCTCGCCACAGGCCCGGTGAACCTCTCTGCCGCCGCTGGCCGACCGCACTTTGTCGTCTTCTCCGCCTACAAGGTCATCGGCCACCCGACTGGCCTCGGCGGCCTCCTCATTCGCCGCGACGCCGCCTCCCTCCTCGCCAAGCGCTACTACGGCGGCGGCACCGTCGCCGCTGCTCTCGCCACAGAGCCGTGGGTCCGCATCCGCTCCCGCCTCGAGGCCGCCCTGGAGGACGGAACACTGCCGTTCACCTCCATTGCGCAGCTCGGTCCGGCCATGGATGCCCTCGCCGCCGTCGGTGGCCTCGACGGCCTCGGCCGCCACATTCGCCGCCGCTCCGCCGCTCTGGACGCCGGCCTCCGCGCCCTCGTCCACCTCTCGGGTGCCCCGCTCGTCCGCCTCTACTCGCCGCCCGCCTCTACCATCATCACCCTCAACGTCCTCACCCCTCAAGGCGAATACGTCGGCTACTCGGAAGTAGGCCGCCTCGCCGCCCTTGCTGGCATCCATCTCCGCACAGGCTGCTTCTGCAACCCGGGCCGCTGCCAAGACGCCCTCGGCCTGACCTCCGCCCAGGTCAAGGCCCACTACGCCGCCGGCCATGTCTGCTGGGACGGCAACGACATCATCGACGGCATCCCCACAGGCGCCGTCCGCCTCTCGCTCGGCGCCCACTCGACAGCCGCAGACGTCGACGCCCTCCTCCACTTTTTCCGCTCCTCCTTTGTCCACGCCTCGCCCGCTGCGGACCCAGCTACGTTCTCTGCCGCCACACATCCTACTCCTGCCCCGCGCCTCGACGCCATCCTTGTCTACCCGATCAAGTCCGCTGGCCCCATGTCCGTCACAGAGTGGGAGCTCGGCCCGCGCGGCCTGCTCTACGATCGCGAATGGCTGGTCGTCAAGACCGAGGCCGACGGCCGGATCCAGACCCTCAATCAGAAGAAGGAGCCGCGTCTCTGCCTCCTCCGCCCGCTCGTCGACCTTGCTGCTGGCTCGATCCGGCTCTCCATCCACAATGCACCCGACGCCGGTGACCTGTTTTCGCCCTCGACCACGCCACCGACCTCGGCCCCGCGCCATCTCACGTTGTCGCCTCGCGCGCCGAACAGGTCAGCTCCGCCTCGCGCGCCCCGCCCGAAGTCTCTGCCTGGCTCTCTGCCTGGCTCGGCTACCCTGTCGAGCTAGTTCGCGCCGTCGCCGGCCGCCTCGCCGTCGATGGTGCGTCGCCTATCGGCTTTGCCAACGAGTCGCCGTTCCTCGCCGTCAATGCCGCGTCGGTCGCCGCCGTCAACGCCGCCGTCGGCCGCGAGCCGGTCGCGCCCTCGCGCTTCCGACCCAACTTTGTCTTTGACACTCCCGGCGCCCCGTGGGCCGAAGACGCCTGGCCGTCCGGCGCTGTCCTCGCCATCGGCCCACACGCCACCTTTACCGTCGTTGGCGGCTGTACCCGCTGCCGCATGGTTTGCATCGACCAGGACTCGGCCGCTTCGTCGGCCGAGCCGCTCCTTACTCTCCACCGCATCCGCCGCATCGATGGTCGCATCCAGTTTGGCGTTCACCTCGCCAGCCGCAACGTCGGCGTCGTCATCACCGTCGGAGACGAGCTGCGCCTCGAGCCGGAATCAGGGGCTGCCTCGTAAACGCAAATAGACCGCGACCTCGCAGGGTGCGAGTGTAGCCAAAAAAAAAAACACGTTTGGGACAGCGGGGTTCGAACCCGCGACGGTTTCCCAGATGAGCTTAAAACATCCGCCTTAACCACTCGGCCATGCCCCATGCCAACTAATGACAGTTTTCCACAGAAACTTTTAACAGCCACAGTAGATACCGCCCGCCGGAGCCCTGCCCACCGTGCTCCTAGCACCCGCCGCCCTCTCTCTCTCTCTCGCTCCACTAGCTATACTCAACCCACTACCTCCTCGTCTCCACGCTCGCCATGAAAGCAATTGCCAACCTCGGATTCATGTTTGCCGAGCTGCCGTTCCTCGAGCGCTTTGCCGCCGCCGCTGCCGCGAACTTCACCACCGTCGAGCTTGGGTGCTCGTGGACGAGCACGAGTCCCAGCGATGTGGCCGCTGCTGCCGCCGCCGCTGGTGTCACCATCTACGCGCTCAACACGCCAAAGACCTCGCCATCAGGTCTCGAGTGGGGCACGGCTTGCGTGGCTGGCGATGAGGCGCAGCGCGAGTTTGAGGCTCAGATGGAGGAGACGCTGGCCATGGCCGCCGCCTGCTCCGCTGCTGCCATCCACCTCCTTGCCGGCTGCGGCGAGGCCGACGACGAGGCGATGGCGGCAGTGTTTGAAGCCAGGGTGGCGCAGGCGCTGGCCATGGCTTCTGCCCACGGCATCATTGTCCTCCTCGAGCCCATCACCCGCAAGGCTGCCATTCCGGGCTACTTCCTCACCTCGGTCCCGCACGCCCTCGACGTCATCGACCGGGTCCGCGCAGCCAACTCTGACTTGCAGCTCATCGGTATCCAGTTTGACGTCTTTCACGTCTATCTTGAGGACGGCGCAGTCGGGTGGTGGCTCGACCGGGCACTCGAGCGCGCACCGGTGGTGCATCTGCAGTTGTCGGCGCCGGCCGCGCGGACCGCTCCGGTCTCGCCCGCCGTCATGGCGGCCATGGCCATTGCCCATCCGCTGCTCGACTACTCCTCGGAGCTCGACTTTGGCTGGCTCGAGAGCAAGCTGGACGAGGTTGGCTATCATGGCTTTGTCGGCCTCGAGTACAAGAAGCACCCGTCGTTTACCTCGACCCACGACGAGGTCGCCGCCCTGCGCGACGCCGGATGGCGGTGGTGAGCGGCGTGCGCTCCCAGCTGCTAAGCCTCCTCCCACGACTCGATGGGCGTGGCCCGGAGGATGGAGACCGTGTCAAGCGGACGATCCTGGGCGTCAGTCGCCACCTTGCCGATCTTCTTCACCACGCCCATGCCGCTCTTGATCCGGCCAAAGATGGTGTGTTTGCCGTCGAGGAACCGAGCCGGTGCAAGGGTGATGAAGAACTGCGATCCGTTTGTGTTTGGCCCTGAATTGGCCATGGAGACAATGCCGGCGCCGGTGTGTTGGAGGCTCTCGTGGATCTCATCCTCAAACCTCTTGCCGTACACACTCTCACCGCCACTCCCTGTCCCTGTGGGATCACCAGACTGCGCCATAAAGCCATCAATGATGCGATGGAAAATGATGCCATCGTAGTACCCGCTACCGGCAAGTTGTGCAAAGTTGCCACACGTCCTCGCCGCCTCCTTCCAGTACAGCTCAATGTCAAAGGTGCCCATGTTGGTCTCCAACCGCACGCCAACGCACTCTCCGTTGCTCATACTTGCTCTGTCCCTCGACCTCGACGTCTTCCGCACAAATATCGACCTCGAGTCTGGTGTTGCCTCTTGCCCCCTTTCCTGTCCCTGCTCCCAACTGGCCGCTCGTCGACTCGACTCGGGCCACCGCCCGACCAGAGACAGCCGTCCAACGCCGGCCGACCAGCATCAACAGCCAAAGGTCGCCCCTTGTTATCACCATCATCATCATCATCATCATCATCGTGATTGCCATCAGCGGCTGTCACTTCACTGGCATCAGTGACTGATCTGTGGCCTGCGGGGCCTGGCCTGCCGGTGGTCGATCTTGGCCGACCGCCGATGGCCGACGTATAGCCAGCCGGTAACTGATCTGTGGCCAGCCGGTCGCTGATCTGTGACTTGCCGGAGGCCTGGCCTGCCGGTGGCCGATCTATGGCCAGCCGGTAACTGATCTGTGGTCACCCGGTCGCTGATCTGTGACTCGCCCGTGGCCTAGCCTGCCGGTGGCCGACCTATGGCCTGACTGATCTGTGGCCACCCGGTCGCTGATCTGTGGCTCGCTCGTGGCCTAGCCTGCCGGTGGCCGATCTATGGCCAGCCGATAACTGATCTGTGGCCCGCCTGTGATGACCGACCTATGGCCTGACTGATCTGTGGCCACCCGGTCGCTGATCTGTGGCTCGCCCGTGGCCTAGCCTGCCGGTGGCCGATCTATGGCCCGCCTGTGATGACCGACCTATGGCCTGACCGATCTGTGACCTGCCGGTGGCTGACAAGAGGCCCCCTCACCCTACCCCCCTCACTATCCCCTCACCCTGATATCAGTGTCACGGTTGCCTCGCCTCGCCTCGCCTCGCCGCTCTCTCTCCCGCAACCGCCACGCCACGCCCCACACTCCTCGCCTCCCACAAGCACTACACGCCACTCAGCAGCGCGAGGCCCAAGCATTCATCGAGCAGAATGAGCAAGACAGCAGCAGGAGTGCAGGAGCATGTGGACCATGAGGTGCTGTCGTTCCTGCGTTTCGCACGGCGGAAGCGTCTGGAGAACCTTCGTGAGGTCGACGGAATCTTTGAGGACTTTATGGAGGACCATGTTAACGAAGCCACGTACACAGCAGATGAAGTCATCGCTCTCATTGGAAGCCTTCAGAGACATGTTCGGACAAATGTGGCTGCAGAGCTTCAACATGTAGCTCATGTCACTACCGTCCTTCTTCAACAGCTTCATGCTCAGGCAAGCAAGTGGTATCTCCGCCTCGCAAGCGATCTGGCTCAGCTGGACGATGCCTCGCTTCTTGCCGCTGTCGCTGCCTTTGAGTCAGACAAGCTGGCTTCGGCTTCTGCTACCTCTGCTGCCTCTGCTCAGTCGGCCTTCCTCCCGCCGCTCGAGTCCTTCTCTGACGAGTCGCTCGGCCTCCTCCGCAACGAGATCGAGATGCTCAAGGCCAAGAACGCCGCCCTCGCTGCCGACAAGGAGTCGCTCCAGCAGAGTCTCGATGACGCTCTCCGCGGAACCGCCTCTGAGGAGGGCGCCCTTGCTGCTGCACAAAAACTCTCTGATCAGCTGCGCGAGGAGCTGGCAGAGACAAAGCAGATGCTCGCCCGCCGCGAGGCCGCCCTGGCCCAGGCCGACGGCGCCGCGTCGCACTCTGCACCTGCCCCGTCCACCTCGGCAGACTCGGACGAGATTGCCCGCCTTCAGTCCGAGCTCCGCGAGGCCCATGCCAACATCCGCGCCAAGGATCTTGAGCTTGCTGCCGTCAACGCCGAGCTCGACGCCAAGGTCTCCAAGACCTCGCCGTTCATCTCGCTCAAGAAGATGCTGCGCAAGAAGAACGATCTCATCAAGTCCCTCCGCGCCCAACTCGAGTCCGCTTCCGGCGCCAGCTCGTGATCCAGCTCCCCCCCCCCCTCCACCCCCCCACCCTCCACAGGCTCGTCACCACCAAAAACGATACCCTCCATCCATCCCCCCTCCCCGCCGGGATCGATAGCGGGCCCGTAAAGTTGGGTGACCTCGCATAAAATACCTCCTGCCTGTCACCTGGCTTCCCCTCGGCCGTGGCTGACCCCTCCAGCCCCAGCCCTCACCCCACTCCCCACCGGCTACGCTGCACCCACCATGGCGAGCACACCAACAAACACCATCCCCATCCCCACCTTTACAGGCAGCCGATGGGAGAACCCGGCGTCGTTCAACTTTGCCCTTCCCGGCCTCTGGTCCGCCCTCAAGGTCGCCTGGCGGTACTCAATGCCGTCGCCTCCGGCTGACGACCAACTGTCGACCATGTTCCCGACTGCAGAGCCAGAGCTGGAACAAATTGTGCCACCGGCACATGTGCAGGCCACGTGGATCGGCCACGCCTCCACCCTCGTCCGTTTCCACGCCGGCTGGACGCTCCTTACTGATCCTGTCTTTGCGAACAGATGCTCTGCCGTCCAGTGGGCGGGGCCCAAGCGCATGCTCCCGCCGCCGCTGGCCATCGATGATCTGCCAGACATCGACCTCGTCGTCATCTCGCACAACCACTACGATCACTTGTGCAAATCATCCGTCATCGCCCTTGCTCATCGCTTCCCACACCTCCTCTTCCTCGTCCCGTCTGGATTGGGGAACTGGTTCCGCAAGAACGGCATGACAAACGTCGTCGAGCTCGAGTGGTGGGACTCGGTCGTGCTCGAGCGGGATCATGACGGCAGCCCACGAGTCGTTGCTGAGCATCGCGGTCTCAGTCAGCGCCTCCTGGACGCACGCTCCTCGGACAACGAGCCCATTGACGAGCTGGCCGCCCTCACTGCCCACGCCGCCGCTGCACGCACCTTTGATCCCGACAGCCCGCCGCGGCTGGCGGTCTCCGCCACCTGTGCCAAGCACTGGTCCGGCCGCTTTGTCGTCGACAAGTGCAAATCGCTCTGGTGCTCGTGGGCCATCCACGCATCGGATGGCGCATCGTACTGGTTTGCCGGCGACACCGGGTACGACGCCCACGGCTTTCAGACCCTCGGCGCCGCCTACGGTCCCTTCACCGCCGCAGCCATCCCGGTCGGCGCATACCACCCGCGCGACTTTCTGCAGGCCCAGCACGTCGACCCGCTCGAGGCTGTCGCCATCTCAGTCGACGTCCGCGCAGCCGCCTCATTTGCCATCCACTGGGCCACATTCATTCTCGCTGCCGAGCCCATCGACGAGGCGCCTATCCTCATTGCTAACGAGCTCGACCGCCGCAACCTTCCGCCGCACGCCTTTGTCCCGCTCAGACATGGCGAGTCGCGCGTGTGGCCGGCGCCCGCCGCAGACAGCGACCACAGCGACGAGCTCTCGCGCGACGGCTCCTCGTCTGCCTGAGCCGGCTCACGGAACGAGATCGACGCCGAGTCGCGCCGCCACGCCGGAGCGGACGGTCTTGTCGAGCAGCTGCGCCGAGTTGTCATTGGCCGCTACAACAATGTGCGCCGCTGGAATGCTCGCTTGCGAGACGATGGCAAGCGCCGGAAGTGCAGACGTCTTCCAGATGCTGGCGAGCGCCGCCTTGCCGATGTCGGCTGCAACGGAGCGGGCCGCAAGGCTGGCGAGTTCCGCCCCGTTACTGTGCATCGAACACTCGATACGCCGCCCGGTGGTCGTTTCCACGTAGCCGCGGCTCCGGGCATCGGCCACAAGCTTGGCCTGCTCTGCCGATGCCAGCGGGGCCACGCCGTAGTCGCCGACTACCACATCCGCTGCGAGTGTGTCGAGCGCACCAACAAGCACCGCCGGGTCGTAGTCGATGTGACCGTCTGGGCACGAGACCAGGCTCGCACGCTGAAGATGGAGCAAGCCGGTGGCGTCGATGGCAGAGTCGGCGGCGAGCTGCGCCAAACTCACGGTTGCTGCCGCCGCCCGATAGTCGCAGATGAGCTGCGGGAGCGGCGAGCCGGTCTCCTCGCTCAGCCGGCGCAGCACTGGTCGCGAGACAGAGCTGGCGTTGGCGTGGAGCTTGGGAAGGCCGGCCACGTTGTACACCAGATTGGCAACCTGCTGGTACGATTCGAGGCTGAGCTCGGCGGCCGCGTCAGCCGGGAGCTCGGCGGCGGCCACGACCGCGTCCTTGGCGGCGTCGACACGGTCCTGCAGGCTGGCAAGCAGCGCAGCGACAGCCGCCGCGTCGACCTGGATCCCACGCGTCTGCATGGCGACGAGCGGGAGGAGGGCCGGCTTGTCGACTGTAGCGTAGAGGTGGGCCAGGCGCTCGCGGCTTGGATCGGCGATGGCATCACCGAGGTCGGCGTGAAGCGCCGCGAGAGTGGCCGCATGGAGCGCGGCATCGTCAGCGCTCCGCGGCTCGCGCGGGATCGAGACGGCGAGTCGGGCGAGGGCGACATCGGCGAGCTCGCGCCGCTTGGTCTTTGCTGACGCACAGTGCGTGACGGTGTAGAACATGAGCGAGACGTCGTCAAACGCCGTCGGCGCGATGCGAGCCAGAGCGTCCGGCGAGGTCTGGTCGAGCTGGGTAAGGAGCGAGGTGGCGCAAAAGGCGACGAGCGGAGGCGCGCCAGAGGGCCGGGCCATGAGGTAGCGAGCCACAACGGTGGCAGCGCCATCAGCAAGCTGCGCAAACGCCGGCGGGCCGTCAACAGTGGCGAGCCCAAAGCCGATGAGCTGACCCGAACCTGCAGTGTACGGAACAATGCTGATGGCGCCGTCCGCGCTTTCGAGGTAGGCCGCGAGAGTATTGGCCGTCTCGAGCTTGGTCATCGGCGCCGGGGCAGGTGGCTCGGTGGTGGTGCCCTGGACCGCAGCAGCGCGCGAGGCGCGGAGGAGCGAGGCAAAGCCGTGGTCCTCGCAAAACGCGACAAAGGCCGGGTGCTGGAGGAGATCCGCCTTTGTCCGTGGTGCGTTCGAGTCGAACACGTCTGGCAGATCGGGCAGGTCGGTCGTGAGGGTGGTGAGGCCGAGGTTTGCAGTGATGCGGTCGCCGGCGTCGACAATGGCTAGGCTCCGCTTGGTGTGCTTCACGCCCGGCGCAGCGAGGGCGGCGAGCAGCTCGGGAACCGGGCCGTGCTTGGCGATGAGGGCCGACGCGGTCTTGGGGCCGACGCCCTGAACGCCCACAATGTTGTCGACAGCGTCGCCGGTAATGGCCTGGACGTGCGGGACAAGTTCGGGCGTAACGCCAAACTTGTCCATGACCTCGGTCTCGGTGATCCACTCGGGCTTGGACGGGTGGTAGAGGGCGATGTTGCGCTCATCGCTCACCACCTGCATCATGTCCTTGTCGCCGGTCACGATCCACACCGCGCCACCACAGTCGACTAGGCGGGCAGCGGTCTGGACAGCCAGTGAGGCGAGGACATCATCGGCCTCTGCAGACGGTACTGCAAGCGAGACAAAGCCCAAATCGTCCATGAGCTGGCGGAGGGCAACAAACTGGTAGCCGAGCCCAGATGGCGGAGGCGGGCGACCAGCCTTGTACTCTGGCTCGACAGCAGTTCGATGCAAGTGCTTCCTCGGCGAGTCCCAAGCCAGAGCCAGGGCTCTCGGAGAGTGGCTATCGACAAGAGCCAATAATGATCGCAAAAATGAAAAAGACGCTCCGGTGGCTTTGCCCGACACTGGATGACTGAGCGGTGGCGTCGAGTGGTGGGCTCGGTGGACGAGCCATGACCCATCGAGGAGCATCACCAGCGGAGGCTCCCACCATATCCACGGTATACTCTCGCTGTTCTCGCTCGCACGGTAGATAGGTATGTTGCTCAGCGTCCGTCGCAGACCACCAAACATCCCAGCAGGTATCCCTTGTCTGCGAGAGGTGGCCAAGCTTTGTTCTTGGGGGGGGGGGGGGGGGGGAGGGGAGGGTGACGGCGGCCGGGGCGGGGGCAGGACTGTGGGGGGCGTTGGGAGGGGGGGGGGAGGGGGGGGGGGGAGGCAGTACGTAGTGATCGACATCTGAACAATGTCATCACATTGCTCGCAATCTGGGCCAGCACATCACGATCTGGGCCAGCACATCACAACCTCGGCCGATACATCACAACCTGGACCAGCACATCACAACCTCGGCCTGGCACAGCGAGACGGCAGCGACGTCCTCGCGCTGGCCGATAGAACCGACATGTCCGGCGATGTGGGCTGCTGGGGAGAGAGTGAGATGTGCGAGGCAGAAGCAACAGCAGGAGCTGCAGAAGCAGGTGGCTCCCTGTCGCTCTCCTTACACTTGCTGCGATAGGGCACAGAGGGCAGCGGCGATCGTCTCGGCGCCCAAGATCTCGCTCTCACGCGCGCACGCTGCTGTCGGACTTGCTGCCGCGTGCCGGACATAAGCCCGTTGTTGTGCGGGGCGTGAGGGGTTGTGCGGGGCGTGAGGGCCAAGCGCCTGTCGTACGGGATCAGAGTCTCGGTCGCTATTGCCACGACGGCCAGAGCCGGCTCGGAGAGGTTGCGACGAAAATCAAGACACTTTTCGCCGGCCGCCGCCGCCGCCGCAACCGCAGCAGCAGCAGCAGCAGCAGCAGGCGGAGCAAGTACAAGCAACGACAGAACGAGAGCGAGCGAGATAGAGAGAGAGAGAGAGAGAGAGAGAGAGAGAGGAGGACGGACGAGACAACG